TAGTGTATAGTATGTATGTTGAACGGCCTTTGCACCGTACGTAGCCAACCGCGCTCATCGTAGGTTGCGGGGGAAGGACAACACACTAGACACAACAACAACAACAGACTAGACACAACAACAAACTAGACACAACAACAAGCAGTTTAACACACAAAAAAAGCACAGCATCGGAATTTGGCTCGATCGCCTATTCAACATTTGCCCTGCTAACTGCCTGAAGAAAGTGCTCGCTGACTATAATTATATTTGGATGTGTCAGGTGTTTTTTTTTTCTCCTTTCACTTTTAAAAAAACCAATTTTATCGCTGCCAGCAGCAATAGGCTCTGGTGCCGCTTTCGATGCGGAGCCACCACCATCGAGTACAGCGACGTCGCCATCGCCATCGCCGCACAACCGCGGCACGTGACCCACGCCGCCACGAACGACGCGCGCACCGCGTCGTCACGCACGTCGCAAAACTTAGAGTCGACCGGTCAAAACGTGAACGCCGGTGCACCGTTGACCGAGTGAGATATCGGGGGAGTGGGGGGGGGGGGCTTCAATGTCGTCAATTGCATGACACACTCGCTCTCATGTGGGTTAATTCCGGAAGGTGGGGGGGGGGGCGCGGTGTGTGTAGGTTCTGTAAACGCATTTATGTTTACGCAAATGTTGTGTTTGTTGCTGTGTTTGTTTACAATTTGCTAAGCGACGTTGTGCAAAAATGTGCTCCTAAATGCGTTCAAAGTCACAATCGGCAATTCGCATTGCTGCTGCTGCTGCCGCCGCTGCCGCTAACCGTAGGTGTTGCTGTGGCTCTCGCAGCGCACTGCAGTCGTGCAATGCAGAGATCGCCGGGGAGATCTCCTCCGCCCCTGTTCACTCGGCGGTACAAATTGGTTCAGCACGACTGGTCTGTACGCGTGTACTATGTGGAACTTTATTCGCACAACCCGTTCGTAGCCAATCGCGCTAATCGGAGGTGCGGGGCGGGGGGATGGAAGGACAACAAACTAAACACAAAAAGCAGCTCTAAAAAAAAATCAATCTAGACTCTTTAAAAGTGCACAGCTCCAAGTAGGCTTCCGAATATCGGAAGGGAGGAGCGTTCCAGACGGCCGCAGAAGCGCGTCTGAAAGTGCCGAGCCAGAAGCCGCTGCCGCCGCCGCTGCTGCTGCTGCGAGCATGAGCGGACTTCGCACGGTGATGGTTTTGTGGCTCCCTTGACGAGATCGGCGAGCTTTTGTGCTTCACTCGTGGCGAGAAACTCTGTGTGGTCCACAACTCCTGGCAAAGCAAAAAAAAACTACGGCGAGCGTGGTTTTAATCGCGTCGCTTAATCCTGGAAGCGTTCACGCGCTTCGCTTTTATTTTATTTTATTAGGACTTTTTACATCAAGATTTCAAACGAATTTCTTTAGAGCTGCTGGCTTCTCGTGCTTAGTCTGTTGTCCTTCCTGCCTGCCAAACCCGCACCTCCGATTGGAGCGATTGGCCACGTGGGGCGGTGCAAAAGAAGTTCAACGTACACGGAGAGACACTTACACAGGGCTGGGATATCAAGCACCAGCTTGATGTCCGGAGTGAACAATCACGCGCATGAACCCGTCGTTCCCTCGAGGAACAATGACACGCGGGGCGCTCAGCGCTGTCAATCAGTTTGACTCCAAGCCCGTGGCTCAACTTCATTAACCCACACTGACCGTTGTGGTGAAGCAGGGTTAAAACAACGACAACAACAACAACAAACAAACGAGGAACAAGAAAACCCCATGCCAACACGGCAGTGTGTGGAAGGCCCCCTCATAGCGGGGTTATCTCCTGCAAAGTGTCACTGGTAAATGGGACCGAAGAGGTGAAGTCCCCCCCCCCTCCCCCTGCCCCCCCCCTTGTGATAAACAATCTATTTTTAGCGGCGTGCTTTGCTGCCACTTTCTCTAATTGTCCGGGGCCTTGCTCCGTGATGGGGTAGGGGGGGGGGGGCGCTTTCAATTTTCCACAGCCCATCGCTGATCATAAACAAGCTGCCATGCAGTAACCGTGAGTAAAACTTAAATGTAGCGTTTGAGTAGATAAACTGCACTGGTTTTTACTTTATTTTACCAGGTAAGGCCCACTGAGCTATGTGTAGTTCTTTTTCAGAAGCGACCTGCCTATCGCAAACGATAGCTCAACGAAGTGGCTCATCACGTGGACATTAGCAGCAGCCAAAAGAACTCAAAAACGCGTGATGTTCATTCTAAATGTGGTAAGGGAAACCCCAGAGGACCCGGAGAACAATCCACGCGATCACGGAGAGAGACACGCCAACTCTATCAGTATACCGGCGTCAGGGTCGGGATCAAACCCACGAATCTCCTGTACACCAGGCGAGATAGTTAACATCTCAGCACCTCACTATTTTACTCGATCGGGCCCAGGAGATTGCCAGACCTTGTGGATGCAATTAGGATAAATGTCCTCATTTGCATAATGACCAAATGGCCTCTTAATGACTTACGCAGCCGCATAGATTAGTGGTTAGTGCGCTTCTAAATTAACCAGCTTACTGGAAATTGGAAGTGTGATTTAGGTAACGGCTGGATGTTTCTTTTCTCCCATTGTTGTTTTTGCTTTTATTCCCCCCCCCCCCCCCCCCCCCCACAGTTGGAGTCAAAAGGTCAAAGTGATTTCCTGCTCCGATGAGCATTTGAGGCCGCTGCTCTTAGCCTGTTGACAGCCCTGAGCTAGTGGTGGAAACTCCATACTCCTATATCGGCGGGCGGATCCATCCACTGTTGACTTCACCCATGAAGCGGTACCTCCTCAACATCACCACCATTAACATCATCACCACCATCATGTATATGTGTTTGTTCAACTTTCTCTCGCACCGTACGTAACCAACCGTGCTAATCGGAGGTGCGGGGCGGGGGGGGGAGGACAACAGACTAACACACAAAAAGCAGTTCGATAAAAGTCGCCCATCGACCGGGATCGAACTGGCACGCCCTCTGTTTGCGAGTCCGAGCGCGCTGAGCCACGGTGCCTGACCGGGTCACCTGACAGCTCCTCTCATCGATGGGCGAGGCTGCCTTTAGTTTGGCTTAAATGAGCAGGGGGATAACGGTCGTGTTGTGGAAGAGTCACTGCAGATGGAGAGGGTGGGGGGGGGGGGGTGACTCTCTCGCAATCGCGGTCGGATTTCGTCAAGGGTCACACACCGAGGTCATGGAAATCTCAATTTTCACAAAAAGGAGTGGATGGATGATTAGAATTTTTTTAAGAACGCACCCTAATTAGGGAATACCAGTAACATAACCCTGACATCCTGGAAAACGTTCAGCATGGATGAGAGATGGTTTTCTGACCTGGCGTATGTCAAGGGGAAGGAGATTGTTGATGTGTTCAAGACGTGAGCGATATAAATTGTTTCCATACCGGAAAAAAATCAAACATTATCAAAAGGTAATGGTGCAGCCCTGCAATGTCTGGCTCGTGCCACTGCTGGTGGGAGGGCCTCCACTAGAGGAAGCTCTCTAAAGAGCCCCGCTGGAGTGTATTTGGCCTACTCTTCCACGTATGTTGAACTCATTTCACACCGTTCGTAGCCCACCGTGCTAATCGCAGGTGCGAGGGGAAGGACAACAAACGCAACACAACAATCAGTTCTAAACAAATTAGTTTGTCAATCCAGATGGCTTAAAAAGCGCAAAGCTCAAGCGACTTTCTAATATCGGAAAGAAAAAAAAAGCGTTCCAGACGGCCGCAGGAGCACGTCTGAAAGCGCGCTGACCAAACTGAAAAAAAAAAACTTCAAAGATTCCAAAACAACCTGGCACGCGCCGTCATCGGCCGCACTAATCCCCGTCTCGACTCGCTCGCCTCTCTCTCCGTGCCCTCCACTGGCCACCCATCGCCAGCAGGGTCACATACAAGATCGCTTGCCTCTGCCACCGCGCCTTCACATCTGCCTGCCCGCCGTACCTCTCTTCATTATTGACCACTTTGCAGCACAGCACACGGCAGACGCCTGCGCAGCGCGACTCACGACCTCATCTTCATACCAAGATCCAGGACGGCCACGTCTATGCGCCGCTTCTCGGTGGCAGCCCCAACAGTCTGGGACGGTATCCCCTCTGCACATTCGCAGCATCACCTCAATCGCCACCTTCAAAAGACACTTTACAAACTCACCTCTACAACCACGCTTTCGAGCGAATCTGAGCTAGGGTCCGCGCCTCTGAGTTGCGGCCGTTACGTCCGCAAATTTGCGCGCGTTTTAAATTGCATTATTATTATTATTAACGTCTTGAACACAGGTGGCATTGCCGCAGGCTTTTACCCGCCGCACGTGACCTGCCAATCGACGTGCTACGGCGCACCCGTTGACGCTGCTGGGTGGGCATTTAAGAAACTTTGCCCCATTGTTTCAAATGCCATGCGCGGAGGTCAAAACGGGTGACCTCTGGATTGCAGGTCCGGTGCGCTAACCATACCACCGTGGCAGCTTCTCGTGTATATATATATTTTTTAGTCGTATTGCGTGCAACCATTTTGTACGGAGCTTTGATTAACTCCCCACAATTCGGCAAAGCACAAGTTCAAAAAGTGAATTCACAATGTGAGCGTGAAAAATTTTGGCTGTGACATTGGCGCTCGGGACCCTGTGAAATAATTCACGGGGACGTAATCTGATGGTGTGTGACAGTTTCCTAGCCCAAAATCACAAACTTAAACTACGGTTTCGACTTAAAGCACAATGATGTTTATCAATTGCATCGTTGTTGTTGCTTAGGTACTAAGGATTCCAGGTCTCCGTTGCGAAGCAGAAAATGGATCTGACTGATCACTTATCTGGCTAAATAAAGGGCACCGTTGGAACAAAGGCTGATAGAATGGAAGTCCTTGTGAAGGATATTAAACTCCCCCCCCCCATACAGCCGCCCCCCCCTCCTTCGAGTAATTAAATAAATAATCGGCCACCAATCAAAACACAACTTGACGAGGACTTATAAGAGGGCTGTGATACCGAATGGACACAACGCCGCCGGTCTGCAGGTCCGTGTCAAAGAAAGCTGAGCGCGAGTTGCCGCGGAGAGGCGAAGGACCGAGAGGAAACTTTTTTTCGGTCGACACTTCCAGAGGAGGCTCCATCCAACAGCCATGGCGTGCAGGTGAGACAGCTCCACGCCGTCACCTCGTCGCGATGACCTCAACAGACTTTGCTTTGGCCCGACGGGGAAATACTAAAAAAAGTGGAACTCTCTAGCTGTCGGCAGTCGTACGCATTCCACCAATTACGTTCATTAATTTTCCCGCATCTCCGATTAGCGCGGTTGGATTCGTGCGGCGCGTAAGAAATTCAACATAGAGCACATACACACACACTACCCATAGACTTACACTGCCCATAGACTAACACTACTCATAGACTAACACTACCCATAGACTTACACTACCCATAGACTAACACTACCCATAGACTCAACACTGCCCATAGACTTACACTACCCATAGACTCAACACTACCCATAGACTAACACTACCCATAGACTAACACTGCCCATAGACTTATACTACCCATAGACTAACACTGCCCATAGACTTACACTACCCATAGATTTACACTGCCCATAGACTAACACTACCCATAGACTTACACTGCCCATAGACTAACACTGCCCATAGACTTACACTACCCATAGACTTACACTACCCATAGACTCAACACTGCCCATAGACTAACACTACCCATAGACTCATCACTACCCATAGACTAACACTGCCCATAGACTTACACTACCCATAGACTAAACACCGCCCATAGACTTACACTACCCATAGACTAATACTGCCCATAGACTAACACTACCCATAGACTAACACTACCTATAGACTAACACTGCCCATAGACTAACCCTGCCCATAGACTAACACTGCCCATAGACTAACACTACCCGTAGACTCAACACTGCCTATAGACTTACACTGCCCATAGACTTACACTGCCCATAGACTAACACTGCCCATAGACTAACACTACCCATAGACTCAACACTGCCCATAGACTTACACTACCTATAGACTAACACTACCCATAGACTAACACTGCCCATAGACTAACACTGCCCATAGACTAACACTACCCATAGACTAACACTGCCCATAGACTAACACTACCCATAGACTAACACTGCCCATAGACTAACAGTGCTCATAGACTAACACTACCCATAGACTAACACTGCCCATAAACTAACACTGCCCATAGACTTACACTACCCATAGACTAACACTGCCCATAGACTAACACTACCCATAGACAAACACTGCCCATAGACAAACACTACCCATAGACAAACACTGCCCATAGACTTACACTACCCATAGACTAACCCTGCCCATAGACTAACACTACCCATAGACTAACACTACCCATAGACTAACACTGCCCATAGACTAACACTAGCCATAGACTAACACTGCCCATAGACTAACACTGCCAATAGACTCAACAATGCCCATAGACTCAACACTGCCCATAGACTCAACACTGCCCATAGACTCAACACTGCCCTCAGACTCAACACTGCACCTCCGATTTGCGCTGTTGGCTACGCACGGTGCGACACAAGTTCAACAAACACACACACACAAGGTAGTATCGTCAATACCCCAACCAGCCGGCAACAGAATAGGAATCAGACTATTTTATTCATACTGGAGGAATCCGATGAGCAATGAAGCTCTTTTTCACAGTTGTCCAGTAACGAATGAAGCAAAAACAAAACCTCCTCTATTTATTCAATGCATTTTCTTTCCAATCGTTTCGATTGTATGGAGATCGTGACATATGTTTAAGCAGTCGCTTCCCTGGGTCCCACCGATATCGTCAGTGGCCATCGTTGATATTTCTATTGTGATTGTGATCGGGGTTTTCTGCTGTGTCAGTGGTTCATTTTAAGACGTACATTTAGTTTACCTGTGATGTACAGTGCTTAGAGATTACCAATTTGAAAGGCGCTTGATGAAAACTGAGTTTATTATTATTACTCTACGATTATATCATGCCTGCATAGGATGCACGTGCTACGCAGAAGGGCCATTGTCTGAAACGTCGCCGATGATATAGTTGTGTTTTCCTTTAAAAGCCACACACACGGTGTCCTTATTGACGATGGTCGTGAAATACTCTGACTGAATTGTACTCCCTCAGTGTGGCGAGGGGATATTTGTTATTAATACAAAAAAATATAAAAGACAACATTCGCATGTTTATCCGCCACCCCCCCTCCACTTCCCCGCAATATTCCACGAATTTTTTTTTAAAACCTTAAATATGCATGGGTTTAATTGTATAATATTACATTTGTCGCACGCGTATGTACGTCGAAATGGGATTGTCGCGTGGCATAACCGTGAGAGGTTTCGCCAAGGCGACTGCAAACGAATCGACATTGGCGACGATCTGGACAAAAAGAACGTTTTCGTCGTGGCGGTCTGATAAAGCAACCGCAAAGAGTCAAAGCGCGCGCCTTTTATTCAGGGTAACGATGGACCCAATTTCAAAGCAGCATATTTCACGATGGCAACGTGTTGCAATTACACGAAAAGTTACAAACGGTTTCATGAGTTATCAAGTTTCACTAAACATTTTATAAATGCTCTATGTGCCCTCCACCTGCTGTACGGACAACATCGAGACGATGGATCGTCCCTGACTCGACTCACTTGCCTGTCTCCGTGCCCTCAATTGGCTACCCATCGCCAGCAGGGTCGTATACAAGATCGCTTGCCTCTGCCACCATGCCTTCACATCTGCCTGCCCGCCGTACCTCTCTTCATTATTGACGACTTGCAGCTCAGCACACGGCAGATGCCTGCGCAGCGTGACTCACGACCTCCTCTTGATACCAAGATCCAGGACGGCCACGTCTATGCGCCGCTTCTCGGTGGCAGCCCCAACAGTCTGGAACGATATCCCTCTGCACATTCGCAGCATCACCTCAATCGCCTCTTTCAAGAGACACTTAAAAACTCACCTCTACAACCACGCTTTCGAGGGACTCTGAGCTTGGCTCCGCGCCTTTGAGTTGCGGCCGTTACGTCCGCAAATTTGCGCGCGTTATAAATTGCATTATTATTATTATTATTGAATTCGTCCCAAACGCCTCTCAAAGTGTCTTCTTCCACTGAAGTCACCGCTGCCGTGATTCTGTTTTTGAGGTCATCCAGATTAGTCGCTAATGGTGCCACAAAAACACCACGGGTCTTTGACGTATACCCCACACAAAAATTCGCAGGGTGTGGTGATGTCTGGGGATCTTGGGGGCCAAGAGTGTAGCGCCAAGTCTTGGGGGGTTCCGTGTGACCTATCCAACGTTGAGGCAGCGTTGTCTTGCGAATGACTGAGGTTAGGGGCTGTTTGTGCGCTGGGAGAGGCATCTCGCGGTAATCATTTGATTCTCTGTGCCCCGCTCTTTCAAGTGGTAAGAGTTTCATTCATGGGCGGTTCGAGGTTGCAGAGATATAGCGATTTCAAATCGGGTCCATCTATTAAGAAAAAAACCACCCTGTATGACGTAACGTTGGCGCTCGCGTGCGCAGGGTCACACGCACGCTTGGTGGGCAGAAACTTCCGAGCAAAACGCGACGGGAAAAAATTTCCACCGCTACGAGACCACGGAGCCCCCGTGGAGCTCCGCAGGTGTGAGGGGGAGCTCCGTGGGGTATCCGCGGAGCTCCGCGGGGGAGCTTTCGACCCCTTTCGGAGAGAGAAAAAAACAAAAACGTTACGACGACAACTTGCAATCTCTTCCATCCCGTATTAAATCCAACCAACCGGCTTGAATAAAAAAAAAAGAATCCACCTAGGCACATCGCTCAGAAAGCGAAATATCGCGGGCGAGAGGGACAATGTGCGCCACTGTGCGCGATTTATTACGCGCCCGGTAATTGGACGAAGATTAAATTTTGGGGGACCGCGAGATGAGAGGAGCGCGCGCAAGGCGGACAAAAGCCCCCACTGTGGAGTCAGTTGACGGCGCTCGGGGTAGGGGTTAGGGGGGGGGGGTTGCGGCTACAGGTGGTTGCCTAGGATGGAAAAAATAGCGGGAGAAAGGCGGCAGGGGGGGGGGGTGCAGGAAATTTATTTCAGAGGTGCCCCCAACCCCGAGCACCCCCCCCCCCTCCCCCGGCCCAGTAGTGTTGTCACCTGTCCCTGATTTTCCCGGGATCGTCGTTGTTCGGATAGCCTGTCCTGGAAATGCTGCCAAGTCTTGCCGGGATATTTAGAAGCAACATGCATTTAAATTTTGATTTAAAGCTTTCGCGACTGCAGTAATTCATATTCTTAGCTCTTTCGGTAAAGTCACGTTGAAGGGAAACAATAAAATAATAAAATATATATAAAACAATAAAAATTTTCACGACGTTTCGACCATAACACAAATGGTCGTCATCAGGTGTGAAAAGCAACGTTGCTTTTCCCTTCAACGTGACGTTACCGAAAGAGCTAAGAATATCAACATGCATTTGTTTAGAAGAGTTTTTTTCATGGCTGATTCTAAAAAACTTCCACGTGACGATGACGATGCTATCGGCCACTTCGTTGAGCGATCATTTGTGGCCAGGTCGCTTCTGAGAAAAGAAGCTCATATATCGGTGGGCCTCACCCGGTGAAGTAGAACAAATAATAATAGTTCAGTTCAAAAATATTTTGTTTTAGATTAAATGTCGCGGTTTTTGTCCAGCGCCTCATCATAGCGACGTAGTACCACCGTGGGAGGGCAATGAATTGACACGGATGTTCTCCCACTCCCCTTCTGCTATCACGATATATTCTTCTTCCCACGATAAGGCCCAGCTTGTTTTTGTACCGAAGAAGCGGCAGCCTTTGTCTCCTTAGTGGCGATGTTTACACATCGCACCGGGTACTCATTTGAGGCCGAGTCGACCTAGGGGAGGCCCAGGACCGGTTGGAATAATCGTCAATGGTGTTTGTCGTGAGCCGGAATCGAACTCGGGTCGCCGGGTTCGTAGCGCAGCGCGCTAACCGATACACTACCGCTCCCCTACACACTCACACACACGCACAGACACAAAGGCGAAGACACGCACGCACACACACACACGCAGCCCATGGAATCCTGCTCCGTGTCGCTGGGTATCTGTG